ACAGATAAAACTTTTTTCTTGAGTCATTTTTTTTTTTATTTTTCTGGGTGGCAGTAATAACAAAAATTTACATTACAAAATGTTGTATTAACCGCCATCCAGTAAATTCAAAATTTGCAACATGACACGTGCTTAACTTCAAAATTAATATTTATATGCTTATATTTAAAATTTTAAAAAGTTACGTAGCAACCAATTTTTTCAAACAATACGAAAAATTTTTAATGAATAGAAATTCATTGGAACGACTCAAACATTCCAAACAGATTATAAATTTCAGAATATGTTTCAGAAGGAACTTAATTCCGGAAAAAATATTTTTAAAAAATATTGATTAAAAAATTTTTATTGAAGATTAACAAAAGAAAAAGCAAATTGAATTTAAAGATAATGTTAATGAAGATGTAAGTGGGTTTAGTTATAGTAAAAACGTTTGTTAAAAATAATAAAAATAAACTGATTTTTTTTTTTTATTTAAAAAAAACGAGTTTCCTTTTCAGAGCCCCGTTCTTTGTCTTGTACACCTGTCATTTTGATTAATTAACCTGTGTAATCTAATTCTTGTGTTATAAAAAAATTTACTCATTGTCTTCTTGTCAGTCATGATGAATCGCCACGTAACATCAAATCTGACTTCACCATAGCTAAACGAACACAAGGGAAAACAGTTGTTAAATTTAAACCATATTGAATCTCAAAAAGACGAACATTTCGTCGGGTGGTGGGGTATATGGGGAGAAGGGCAACTAGGAAAGATGTTTAGTTCTGTGGAGAACAGGCATTTTAGTGTTTGTAGATTATTTTTTTTTTGTTTAATTATCCTTAACGTGAGGAAAACTAAAACCCCGTCCTCGTTTATTTCAGTGTTCATGGTACAGATTAGGGTAGGATTTAATATATATGAAAATGTATAACGAACATCACTATTTTATTTTTCTAAGTCGTAACTAATTGACATTACAGCTATCAAGTAATTTTATCAGATATCAAACTTTTGACATTTTTAGGGGAGGGACACCTTTTTCTGATTTTTATGTACAATGACAGTTTTTCTGTTTTTGTAAGAATAAATTTTTTGAGTTCTTCAAACTTATTTCTGTAGGTTTTAAATACCAGACTAAGATTAAATTAGTAAAAAATAAAACTGCCTTTAATGTATATGACTGTGAAGAATGCAAGATGGTTACATGTACGACATGCTCTTGATCGAAACAAAAGTACATATATCTAATATTATCTATATCATACGTTGGTAACAGTCAAATCATCTCAATGAATGTACTAAACATTAATTGAAACAATTTAGCGGATATAAGTACATGAAGCATGCGTTCTGTTACTCGGTTCCATCTCAAGGGACTCAGAAATTGGCAAAACTTTCTCTCTGTAAGATGGGCAGAATAATAAAGCAAATAGGCACTCGTAAGTACAGGATTCATATGAAATTCCTTTCTTGTCACATTTGTATGAGAGACAAATACAACTGAAGTTCTGATTCAGTTCATTAATACACCCCCCCCCCTAAATTTTAGTTGTAGGAAAAATCCTTTTCTTTTAAATTACATGCATTGCCTTTGAAGGATATTCGAGTTTTGAAATTAAGTGAACTGAATTTTGTTAACTAAATGCAATATGCAGGAATTTTAACTTCCCATTTCAATAATTTATTTATTGGATTCTCTGTATGGAAAACTCTTATATCCTTTTTCTGATCAAAGTTTACAGAATTCACTATTTTTTTAAGTGCGATATTATGGCAACCGTCTTCTATTTAACTATCTTTTGCTGTTGCTGTTTTAAAATTATATAATTTCTAAACAATTAATATTTACAAGAGATTGCAAAAAAGCAATAATCAGGGGAAATTTTGGATTGATATCCATAACACTTTTTGAAATCTAAATAACAGAAAAACTTGCGTCGATGTCTTCATGGGTATGTCCCACGTACAGGAACGAAAGGTGTACATGACAAAAACTTTTAATCTTTAATAACAACATTGACAACCCACAAGCATTAATCTGTAACTGTATGGTTATATGTGCTGATACGTGATTTGTCTAAATCATACCAAAGGGGAAAAAATGTATCTTTAAACGACGAGTGTGCCTTTAATTGACGATCATCAAATATTAATGGTAAAATTAATTAATCAGTTTTTCAGACCACATGTAAATTGTTATTATAATGTGGATTATCTCAAAGTTTAGTATCTTGAACGTACCTCATGAAAAACTCTAAATTTCACAAACAGCTCATAGAATGCAAGCACAGATTTATTTTTGTTTTCGATCGAACAGTGGTTTGCTTGAATGTATAATATTTCTGGTAATAGCTTGACTCAGGCACGTAGCAACAGGGTAGGGGGGCTTTTTTCAGACATACATTTTACTGCCGAAAATGTTCATTGAAAGGCTGCCCCCCCCCCACTTTTTACTTCAGTATATGAATATGAAGGTAATGTAGTTTTGTATGGGGGGGGGGTAGTCCGAAAAATCTGACGTTTTTCTGCTTTTTTACGATTTTGATATTTTACATGCCAGGAAAACGTCAGAACCGACGCCATTACGAAAACTGGGAATTTCACCGTCTTCAACCGAAGTTGATTTTCTAAACTTGGGAACCGAATTAGATGCCGAAATCACAATTTATCAATGGCACAATGCTACTAGAACTCACGAATAGCGATGAATAGAAATTACCACTCCACATTCCGATTCAGAACTTGCACGATTTTAAAATGCACGAAATGAAAACAAATCTCGACAGTCAGATAAAATGTGTTCATCGGATTATATTATTTCATAAACGAAACATAAAAACGATGTTGGTGAGTACTAAAGGTTTTGTACTATTGATAATATGTGAATTCAGCAATTAATTCGGTTTACAAGTATCGAAAATCAACCTCTGAATGCCGCCTCCGGTTGGAGGCGGCGATTTCCCAGTTTTCGTAATGGCGCCGGTTCTGACGTTTTCCTGGCATGTAAAATATCAAAATCGTAAAAAAGCCAGAAAACGTCAGATTTTTCGGACTAGGGGGGGGGGGGGGGGGGAATGGAACTGGAAGAAATTGGTAGAAAAAAAAGTTCAAAAACGATGCTATGTAAGTGATTTACTGGGGAAATGGTATGGGGAAGATATTAAAGCTACTGAAGTAATGAATATGAATATCCTTGTAACAAGAATCTATATTTTCAAAAAATAATTGTGTTAAGATAACAAGGCCCCAGTCTGCAGGAGTGGGTATCGCTGTCTAGGGTCAAATTAAAATTTGATGAAAACTGTGACTTAAATCTGTCTTCAAAGACAAGGTTCATCTCTGATATACATGACGGTGGTTGTATTTTCTGTATGTACCGAAATGTGAAAAAAGAAAAAAAATTATTTAGAAAGGCGACAAAAGATTACAGCAGAAAAATGTGTAGCAAGGCCTAGAAAGTTGAAATATCATTGTAAACAGACTTGCACAGACGATAAGGAAATTGACACGACAAGCATACCCGAATGCTTCTTCAAATTTACTCGATGTTCTCGCTTAGGATCATTTTATTGATGCATTAACAAAACTTTGGAAAGAGTGAAATGTAGGTTCTATTGGTTTAATATGAGGAAGGATATTCAACACATGTGTAAAATCTGCGATGTGTGTGCTGCGAGAAAGAGACCCGTGAAACATTATCAAGGACCAATGAAGAAATATGTTGTAGGAGCTCCAATGGAAAGAATAGCGATAGACATAATGGGCCCTCTACCTGAAATTGAAAAGGGAAATCGGTACATTCTAGTGATAGCTGATTATTTCACGAAATGGACTGAAGCAGTGCCATTACGTGACCAGGAAGCAGCGACTGTTGCATCTGCTCTAATTGATCGATTCATTAGTGTCTTTGGTGTTCCTAAAGAAATTCATTCTGACCAAGGAACAAATTTTGAATCAGGACTGTTTAAGGAAATTTGTGAATTGTTGAATATGGAGAAAACAAGAACTACGCCATTTCGACCTAAATCAGACGGTATGGTTGAACGTGCAAATCAAACAATTCAAAATATGTTAACAGCTTTCATAGATCCTATGCAAAGAGATTGGGACATGTTTTTATCAGTTGTGATGATGGCTTACAGATCCTCTGTGCATGAAGCAACAAAAGTGTCACCTTCGTACATGATGCTTGGAAGGGAAATAACTTTACCAATTGATTTAATATTTGGCGAAGTTCAACACGAAAAACAGAAACAATTAAAGTCGGATTATGCATTTCAACTATCTGAACAAATGAGATGTGTGCATGATTATGCCAGAGAAAATCTAAAAATCACTGCAGATACAATGAAAAAGAGATATGACAAAAATGTCAATTTTCACGAATATAGTATGGATGATGCTGTGTGGTTACATGATCCTACGAAAAAGAAGGGGTTGTCTAAAAAATTGCGACATCAATGGATTGGACCATTTCTTATTGTTAAGAAAATTAGTGATGTGACATACAGGATACAAGAGTCTCCAAGATCAAAACCGAAAGTTGTGCATTCTGATAGGTTGAAACCATATCAAGGAGAAAACAGACCAAACTGGGAAGTTAATGAAGTTGATAGGGATAAAGTGAGAAGTAAAACCGTTGCTTGTGATGGGGGAAATATTCATTTGGGAGAAAACGGGATGGATATTAATAGTGATGATGGAATAGTTATTTCAAATGAGGATGCATCCGATGGTGATGTTTTACACGATAAGGGAAATGAATTATGGTGTACTGACTCAAGTGTGCAATGTGAAAGTGATTCTAGAAGTGCGGCTAGAGTAGAAAATAATGTGAATCGTGATCAGCGTCCTAAGAGAAGTGTCAAAGTTCCCCAGCAATATAGTGATTTCCAGTTATACTAGTGATAGGGCTATATATTACAAATGTAATTATTTTTTATTATTATTTTATCATGTTGATTTCAAAAGTATGAAATTTCTTTTTAGGTGACCAGCTTTGTGTGTAATATTTGTGAGAAGTTTAGGTCAGAGAGTCTGTATGCTGCAAACAGACACGTGCAAGAGCAGCACAGTGGATTTAAATTCAAATGCCAAGACTGTGGAACAACGCTTTCCCGTAAAGATCAAGAACACGGGAAGTGCCAAAGGGGATTCCCAACTATGATAGTGAATATAAACACCCGCATATCAGGAAAAGCAGCGAAAGAGGAAATGGACAAATGGTACAAGGAAATTCTTCCGTTACAGATAACACGCATCACTAGTCCAAGGCCAATGCCGTCAACAACTTCAAGGTCAAGATCAAGATCACCTTTGGGACACAGGGATTATGACGAAATTTCAATCGACGCAGATGGTCAATTTGAGAGAGAAGAGGAGGACATTAAGATCTTAGACGGATTGGAAAGAATGCAGAACGACATTATTCAACTGGATATAGGGGGTTATAAGTTCAAAACAACTAGAGGGACTGTAAATCAAATACCATCAAAGCTTTCCAAACTAATCAGCTTGAAGTCATCGGGAAATGTGCCGTCATACTTTGTTGACAGAGATCCGAAGCATTTTGGAATAATTTTGAATTATCTTAGAAACAATGGAGAAATAGATGTCAGAGTTCTACCCGATGAGAGAAGTGCCCTAGCAGCTATTATGGTGGAGTGTAAATTTTATGGACTTGTGGAATTAGAAAGCGTGGTGAAAAAGAGACTTGAAATGTGCAGATGCCAGCACATGATGGAGTAAATCATTAAAGAGACACTATAATCTGAAATATTTTTAATTGTACAGTGATTCACTACTGTAGATATTGCTAGTTTAGGGACTAAACTTTTCAAAAAGGGGGGTTATGTTATAAAATTTAGAATAATCATCATAATAATTTTATGATTCAATTAGTATTTTATCAATTCAACATTCAGTGATAAAATGAATCAAGCAGTAGTGAATTGCTATGTAAATGATTGTTTAATGTTTGATTGTAAATTTGTTTTGCTTCCCAACTTCTTAAGGCACAGCAGGGTTCTGTCTGGGAGGGGGAGCTTGCGAGCCAGCATCTCTATTAATCTCCAATTTGTAACTGTCATTTTGGGATGACCTGGTATAAAAGGGGGGTCAATTTCTATAATTAGCTGTAGACTTGTTGGTTTTGAAGATGTCAGAGGAGCAATTGAGACGAGCGCGTGGAGATCTGGTAATTAATTAATTGCTTTGGTTTTCTTTGGGATTTAACAATTGACACCAATTATTTCACCGAGATCTCTGGTAAATTAATTGAAGATCAGTAGTTTTCGGTGAAATTATATTGTGTTAGCTAAAATATTTAAACAGCTACACATCCCATATTGTATTCTATTTACTTAGGAAATTATTTCAAGTTTCACCTAAATTATTTGAACGGTGTAACTACTTGGTGAATCTTAATCTCGGTGAATCAACACCGAACTCCACCGAAATATTTACCAAGGTGCGAGTTCTGGTGTTCGGTAAAAATCAATTCTTGAGTATAATAAAGTCATTTATTAACCTTAAATTCATCATTATTCAAGGGATATTGGTAAGTAATTGGGTTATAAAAGAAGTTGGGATTAAAATGTGTTCATTTTAATTTTGCATGCTTATATATTCATATTTACATAAATAAATTATAGAAAAGAATTTGATTTATTTCTTAAAGAAAAGTAATTAAAAGGTTTATAAGTTTACACAAGGATATAATATTACACTGGGATTTATAACTTTGGGATCTACCAAGTTCAGTGAAGTGTTGTGTAACAGTGTGTGATTCAATTTGGAATATATGATAATTTTCACAATAAAAACCAACGTTCCCTATAAAAATTGTGTTGACGAGTTCGCCTCGCGTCACAATATCCTCATTAAAGTATATAGCTTGATGATTGTACAGGAATGTTTTAATTAGGGGAAATTATTGTAAACAAATCAATCTCTTATACAAAAACCAGACATTTAATAAATTGAAATTTATAGAATTTTGTACACTGAGGAAAACACAACCTTAAATCACATAGGAAAACCTTGTATACAAATATACTAAAAGACCTAGTTTTGGTTAACGCGTAGGTAGTGGTACGACGACTCGGTTTAGGTGCGACTTAACTATTAATTCAAACAACTCGTACAATAAAGCACTCGTTGCCTCTGCACAAAAACTGCCGTTCTCCTTCTGTATTCTCTGCGATAAGTGTATTCCTAGGCAATGCTTTTTTATGCCCCGCTTCGAAGAAGGGAGGGCAAATTGCTTTGCTGCTGTCTGTCGGTCGGTCTGTCTGTCGGTCCACTTAGTTTCCGTTCATTTTCTTTGCAACCGTTTAACATACTGAAATAAAAATTTGGTATACAGATATATCAGATGAATATCTAGGTCAAGTTCTGTCTTGGGTACAATTGCATCATTTTTGACAGAGTTATGCCCCTTGGACTTAGAAAAATTTCAATTATTTGCAGTTACCGTTCATTTTCTTCGCAACCGTTATACATATTGAAATGAAATTTGGTATACAGATATATCAGAATATCTAGGTCGAGTGTTTGTCATCTTCATTCAGGTGCAGGGATAGGAATGTCAGTTTGTTTGGGTGAGGAAATAAGACTAAATCCACCAGTTATGTCTGTCTCCACCCTCACATACAACTGAATATCTACATTAGGAACAGTCTCTGGAGTAGCAGAGGATAGTATGTTCTATAATAAGAGGAAGTTTACCATAGATTAAGTTGATGTCTCCAGTGTAAGTATCTATGAGTTTCTTGTAGACATAGCTGCACCGAGCCTTTACATCTTGTGCAAACACTTTTCTCCTGTGGTCTAACCTCATTATTGTTTTGCAGTAAAACATCTCGGGACAGAAGTGGGTACTGTGACACTGTCGGAACTGGGCTCTGCTGATATAGGTAGGGTCCGCCGGTCGAGTAACTTGCCAGTCGGATGAAAAATGCGCATTGCATTTTTGAATCCCAGGGTTGACGGGGCATTATCGTCTGTTGTGGTGTGGTTCACCTTGAACCTGTCGGGTGCCAGATCTTCGTCTATAGATTTAGCCATTTCGTTCTCTGAAAGAAGTGAGAACATTTTCATCACCCCCGGACAAGGAACATCATAATCATTACCTCAAAGCCAGGTTCCGGTCCAGCAATGTGTATTCTGCCTTATTGCACCAAGTATATACTGTTTGTTGGCGTTGATCTTGCATGCAATGGCGAAAGCATATGATGCACTGTAGCCTGGCTTTTTGCTGCTACCGAAGGATATCGAGTTGTACAATGTAGCGTCCATCTAAGGCAATGTCCAGTACCTCAGTCTGGATGTTCTTGACCTTTGTCCTGGTTGATGGCCTTAATCAGTTGTCTCTTCTTACCCATTTTTTTATTCAGGTCGAAAGTGGCTGCGTTGACCTGGTTGCTGGTCTTTTGCATGGAGCTGCGTTAAGGAGGAGGAATGTCCAAGACAGCAACCATTTCCCGACTGCGTCGATTCCCCATGGAGGTGTTCTGCAGGGCTAATTGAAAGTTCCAGTTGATACTGGCAGGGTAAGGGCCTGGTTTGTTATAGATAGGAATTTTAGTGTATGATTTATAGTAATTTGTCTGAAAATAACGTACCGTACACAGTAATCTCATGCCATCCAAACCCTCATTGCCTCTATCCCGAGTAATCCCACACTGGAAAATTGCAGTGCTTGGACTGGTCAAAATGGCTTTTGGCTGCATCATTAAACATTTCCAAGACCTATCTTATGTCAACAATGCGGTTTCCCTTAAACTCATCAGAGGTCTCTCTATTTTTTAGTTCCTGGAAAGGATCAGCAAACCTGCCTTCCCTTCCGCTTTTGGCGTAATTCTTCCGCTTTTTACCACAAAATCACGCTGTTACGCCACTTATATTAACTTAACGCTTTTGAATTTTTGGTTTAAAATCCATTATGATTTATAATCGTCTAAATTTCGAGTCAAAGTACGACCTGCTAAAATTAAATGAGAAGTTCTAGTAAAAGTAATTATTAGAGTAATAGTTCGATAGCATACTTAATATACCTAGTAGTTACATGTATATATAAACTGGTATGGCGAAGATTCGGAAGAACACGAGAAGGCACTACTTACGTTAACTGTTAAATAATATTGCAATCGGTACATTCATTTCTATACTCGCAATTTAGTTTATTTTAACATTGCTTCGAAGAAGATAGAGAAATGTGAGTGTGAAAAAGATAAAATACAGTGTTATTATGTTAGATTTGTGTGAACATGCAAACGCAAGCAAGAAGATAGAGAAATGTGAGTGTGAAAAAGATAAAATACAGTGTTATTATGTTAGATTTGTGTGAACATGCAAACGCAAGCCTTCAATTAAGTGATTTGATACAAATTGACCAAATGCCTCATAAAGCTTTAAGGGCGTGTGGTTGAGTTGAGTTTAATATAGGATACTGGTAATTTACAAGACCTTTTTGCGAATAGATGATTCGAAAAAGAAAAGTTTATGCCAGCACTGTTTAGTAATTTACATTATTATATTATAATCCTTTTAAATACTAAAGGTGTATTTAATTCTTATATTATCAAGAAAAAAATGTTCATAGTAATACAGTTTCACTATACCATGTTCGGAAAACATCAACGGATCAAAAGTTAATTTGAAGGTCCCCACGAGTCCTAAACAAGGTGTACAAGGTATACACAGGGACCAGTAAGTAAATGTCAGTCAAGTTCCAGCATCCAATGATGGACCTTCATGTACTTGATTGACAGGGCTATTTTTGAGGGCGGTGCTTAAAATCTCGGTCTTTAATTGTTATATAATTAAAAAAAAATATTAGATGGTCGAAAGAAGAATAGCAGGCATGAGATTACAGAGGATGCCGAGAGATGTAATCTGGAGCTAGAAAACCAGGTGTAAAATTCCACCTCAAACAGAGAAAGAAATTGAAAAGAGAAATATTAAGTATATACATAAGTATGCAGAAAGAGTATTCATTGCTAAAAATGAGCAAGGAATTCCCTGTTCATACTTATTGCACTTTCCCAGGCCTGACCATCATCATCCGATTCAGAATGATTTATGATTTTAAGATCTTCAGCACATCACAACAAGAGACACTTATTGTGATATTCTTGGGGGATGTTTGTACATACTTTGCACTTTAATAGTTCCATTACAGGGACGTAGCAACCAGGGGGCGGGGGGGGGGGGGGGGGGCTGGCCCCCCACTTTTTTCCCCAACATTACCTTTACTGTAGTAAATGTTCATTAAAAGGATGGTTGCCCCCCCCCCCTCCCCCCACTTTATACCATAGTATAGTGATATCAAGGATTGTAGGAAAAAATTGGAAGTGATGGTAAGTTGGCTTCGAAAAAAGTACTACCCCCCCCCCCCACCCCCGAAATAGGATTTTCGAGTTCGGGCAACTTTTGAACTTCCCTTTTTTTCATTTTTTTTGCTTGTCAACTTTTTCAGGTAAGTAAAAAAATTTTCTCTGGTTGGCCCCCCCCCACTTTCAAAAACGATGCTACGTGCCTGCATTAATGTGGAGGAAATACAGTTGTCATCCTTTCCAGCTAAGGACTTCTCATGAAGCAAATCTATTCCATCACAGGAGTTCGCGTACCTATCAATTATACCGAAAATTTCATTACATAAAAAATACGTAATACGTATAATAATAACACAAAGAGTGCAACGCATTTTAGGTCACATGGGAAACCCTCGCTTGATATCAAGGCTG